TCATTTCTGAGCTGGACTGAGCACTCGGAGCAAAGCGCCACAAAACGGTGCCACACTCAACATGGGAAAAACCCCAGTGCCTACCTTGATACTATTGTGTTTGAACTCTGCAAAGCTAGCTCACAGAAAATAAACGGGATAAGGAAGCGTAACCAAACCCACCCCAAATCAAAACAAGTCTGTAGGTAAGGCAAAATAAAAAGGTGAGAAAAATATACAAAAACTATTTAATGACTATGAGCTTTACACAGCTCCTAACCAAAGGAGCAGGATCAAACACGAAGCTGCATCCCTGCCAACTCACTGGCAGAACACCAACTCGGTAGCTGGACGAACAAGAAAACCTGCATCCCCAACATTTTGACCGCAACACCAAAGATGCATTTGACAAACCCGTTCTTCAAGGTTTTATCATTTCATTTGTAACAGCATTTTCTTTTTTGGACAAACACTTGCAACTCAAATTGTACAACTTTGCTTTGAGAAAGTTCTAAGATTTCTCAATGCAGCCTGAATATGGTAAGGTCACGATCAGCTTGTCGCAAGCATGTCCGGAAAATTCACTCGATTCGGCGACGAAAACAACTGTCTTTTGTCATCAGATCTAAGCACAGACACAGCACACTCATTTCATTTGTTAATTCTTGTACTTAGCGATGGTGATACACCTGCAAAACTACAGTTCTACTGAGCAATGAATTAAATTATTCACGCGTTGTTGGCCAGCATACCTGAACTTTACTCGCTCATCCATTTCCCATAAGATGCCCACAGATGTGCCAAGCCTCGAACACAGTCTAAAAAAAAAATCTATTTTAAAGCTGCCAGAGAAGTTTTCATCGCTTGCCACAAAAGTTCACGCTGGCCTCGGTTCCACAACAGACCGAGAAACCTGATACACAGCGGAGAACCCAGGAGCCCTGAACAATGAACTCCGCATCACTGAGCAACAAGAGAGGTACAGTTTTCGGTACAACTATTGCTAGTGTTGGAAGCTTAAAAGGCTCATAGCGATCTCATCATGATTGGGAAAAGAGGTATTATTAGGTAGTTTACGTTTTAAAATTACAAAATCCACAGGTAAATTTTGAAAGTCTCTCCTCTCCCCACTCCAGTCTAACCCCGTACAAAGCACCAAGGGTGCAAAAAGATTACTATTACTCCACACATAATGTAGTCAATGCAGAAGACAACTACAATTCCTATGGAAACTAATCCTAAAACATCCCCACAGGGGCTTCCAGTAAGGGCGATACACAAAGGATGCCACTAGGGTGAGGCACTGCACATGTTTTACAGGTTACTTCATCAGTTATTCAAGGTTTTTCCCCTCTGATTAATGGGGTCACTCTACAGCTACGCCAGACTAAGGCACACATGCGGCAAGGTAAGATGGGAGCTTCCACTATATGAACAGTCTCCTAACAAACAGGTAACTGAGAATCATCTTGTTTTTCCTGCAGGGCAAGCGTACACAAAGGCACTAAAACTGGCTTGGGCGTGTTCGCGCATGCTGCCATCCCATCCGACACAAATGAAATGACAAATGTCTGCCGATTTTGCAAGAGGTATGAAGAATTTCAGTGCTATGGAATCCCCTTGCTCTGAATATGCAGATGCATGAAAATGCCGCAAAAAACCCTTCCCATTTCTAAGCTGCCGATACAGACTGATTTTACACAGTCGTTTCTGCTCCAACTAAATTACACTGATTCTACTTTTTGCTGTTTCTCCACTCCTCTCACTCTTAAAACTCAGTATTTCGATTACTGTGGATGACCATCACATACTTGCAAAGTGTTAGCATTCCTTATGCAGGGTCTCTCGGAAGGAAACTTTGCTCACATTCCCAAGTCCTGTTTGTTTCAACCTCTACGCCCTGCTCTAGCAAAACTTGCATACAAACCCGCTTACTTCATCTCTGTAAAGAGGACTGGTATAATACATGATATCCATGGCGCTGCTGTTCAGCATATCCCTTAAACCTCGTACTTTATCTGGAGTAATGGAGTCCACAGTGTCTGAAAAATAACAGAGACTTGAGTTACATCCAGGAGAATGACAAAATCCAAACAAGGCACACGCAGACAGCCGGGCATGAAAACTTCTGGGGGCAATTTTGCAGACTGCAGCTATTGGAACAGCAAAAGAACCAGTAAGTAACTAACGTACCTCCATCGAGGGTGAGTTTTGATCTCCATTCAACCGGGAGAAATTCAACATGTGTTGCGAGATTGGAAAAATACTTTTCTTCTATTTTTCTTGCAGTATCTCGCATCCTGTAAAAAAAAAAGAAAAAAAGAACATGTTCCTGCAAAGGCTACTGCTGGTGCTTTTATCAAATAAAGCCAATGCATCCAGCAACAACACAGTTCTTGCATTACTACTTTTCAAGTATGCCACGCGTGGTAATTACCTCAACCTCATGCTTTTGTTATAAAGTAGTTAAACTCTCATATAATGAAAAATTCTGTGCATTTACATGCACAAAAAGAGTTTAAAAAACTTTATGGGCTTAACATAAACCACCTAAATTCAATTGAAAGATGTTAACTCTGGTGGGTTTGGGGTAGGACACAACAGAAAATTAAGGATTTTATCACTGCCTTGAAATCTTGAATCCACTGAAATCAACCATTTAGACCAGTATGTAAGGAAGACAATCCAGTGCTTTTAAACTCAAAGAAAACTATGAAAAATATTGCTTGAAAAGTCAGAATTTTATCTTACATACTGAATTGGAAGGCTCGAGAGCTCTCAGAATGAGACACAGGATCAATTATTAGTGTTTCAACTCGCAGTAGCAGACGGAGGGGCTAACTGTCCTTTTAAAACACTTTTCATTTTTAAAGCATATCTGAACATGGATATCGATGAACCTCTCTCAATGGATGAGAGAAACTTAAAATACCTAAAACCCCAAGTATATCTGGCCCTCTTTGTTGTTTGGGGGAAAAGGGGAATAACGGTAGACTATACTCTCTTAAAAATGCTACTTTCCTTGGTGTTGTGTGAAAGACACATCAGTAAAAAATGAAAACCAGCGTGCAATTATACAAGATTGTAAAATATCCACACATTCTACCAAAACCATCCAGCAACCAAACCGAGAAAGCGTTATATTGTCCTTTCTTTCCTTTACATGAACTCTGGCTCCCAACAGCATTAGCACTTTTGAAGACGAGCATGACAAACTAAATCTGACGAAGGGGCAGCAGGGCAGGGTTTCCAGCAGCTGGTTCCCAGTTCCAAGCATCAGAGGGTTTTTTTTTATTTCTGAGGCAAAGCCCAGAGTTTAAACAAGGGGGTGTGGGGTTTTTTTTCCTATTTTTAAAGCAAACTCCTTTTAATGATTGCTACAACCAGAGGCATGATGACATTAATCTCCCATCTGTACTTCAACCCGTCCAAACGCGGTTTAGTAAGCTTAACCCCCTAGCTGAGACTCTTTCCTTAAATATATTAATGCTCCTCTGTTCTCTTTCAATAGAAATGAGACAGTTCAGCCTAAATCACTACGAACACCTGAGACAGCAATCGCTTAAGCTGCTCCGCTCGATGAGCGCTTTCTGCACCGACACATCATCAGCACTACACAGAGGTCCTACGCAGACAACTCTGCCAAACATCTGCCTTCAGTTTCAGCCTCCTTTGAGACAAAGTCAGCAGGACTCAGCGGGTCGCTGCAAGATGAAGTCAGGAGCTGCCCAAATCTCCTCCAAGAGGTCGCCACCAGAGGTGACGATACAGAGGAAAAGGAAGAAGTATTGACAAAATTTGTTCTTAATCTCCCAGCGTAGCTATCGCCCCGTTGGGACGCAGCTCGCTCATGGGATTTAGGCTGTGCAGGAGAGCTGAAGGCAGATGTGTCTGGAGGAAGAAACACAGAGATGAATTTTAGCTGTCACCAGCAGCTCCTGAGGGATGCAGAGAGATGTCACGGTAGCTTTGGGCAAAATGCCTTCTACGTTTTAACTTCAGCCTTATCAGCTGTACAGCAAGAGAAACACACTTCACCGAGGAAGGAGTACGAAAGCCAGTGCCTTGCAAAGACATTTTCTACAAAGGTAATGGATTCTTCTTCTTTATCGTGTTTTTCCCCAGGAAAAGGAAAAGCCCATTATGCTGCTAAAAAAGCAGATCAGTGCTGCACCAAATTTTTGAAGCAGGCAGTCAAAA